TTTCCCCTAATGTTGTTTCTTCGTCTTGTCGTGACGTGGTGATGATGGTGGTGGATTCCTGAACCCCATCGAGTAGTATTCAAGGGCTGCAAAGCCAGGAAGGGGGCCTTGGTTTGGGAAGTGAAAAACACAACAGGAAAAAAAGGAAAAAAAAAATTTTAAAAAAGGGAAAAAAAGGAAAAGAAAGAAAAAGAAAAAAAAAAAAAGAAAAGAAAAAAAAAAAGAGTAAATGCCACAGGCCCTCAAGGATGCAAAGACATTTCTAGTGAGAACCCGAGACTAAAGGCTACCTCACTTGAGTTTTCAATTTTTGTGATTTGAAAATCACGTCTGATACCAAAGATTTTGTTGCCTTGTCTGGTCTGTGCTGGAAACACCACTTTCCCTGCTCCCCGTGGCCTGGCTGGCCAAGAGAGCCCCTGGCCACCCCCAGCCCCAGCCCCAGCCCTGTCCAGCCCCAGAGAGCGAGGGAGGAGGCGAGCGAGCGGCTCCGGGATGGCAGCGTGGTAGATGAGTGCCTTTTTCTTGTACCAAAGGTGTGTGGCCATTTCTTTGCTCCTCTGCTTTGATCCTGAAGATTCAGTGTGACCTCAGCTCTCGGCAGGGACAGATTCCCAAGGCTCTCGAAGTCTCTGGGTGTTGGGATGAAGGAAAGAAAACCCAACCCTTGTCCCAGTTGAAGACAAAACATCCCCTTGGCTGAAGGAAAGGTGCTGGTTCCCCAGCATGTCCCCCCCTCTCAGATGTCCCTGTGTCCCCCAACCTGGTCCCCAGGGTTGCTCTGTGCAGCCCCTCTTGCCCCAGGAGCACAGACCTGGTGCGCAGGGACGCTGCTCCCAGGGAAAAGCTTTGCTCCATGTCCTTCTCCAGCCTCAGTGCTGGACCCTGCAGAAGCCCACAAAGTGACAAAGATGAGTTTTTCCATGAGGTGATAAAGCTGAGTTTCCTCACAAAGTGACAAAGTTGAGTTTCCTCACGAGGTGATAAATCTGAGTTTCCTCACAAAGTGACAAAGCTGAGTTTCCTCACAAAGTGACAAAGCTGAGTTTCCTCACAAAGTGACAAAGTTGGGTTTCCTCACAGGGTGTCCTTGCTTCACTCAGCTCAGATCTGAGCTTCGGTTCCCACTTTTGGTAGCACAGTTTGTGGCATTTCTGTTTGGAAAGGTGAAGGCAGGAGCAGTGGGAAGCCTCAGCCTGAGGTTTCTCCAAACTCTTCCCTTAGGGAAGGGTTGGAGCAGTGAATCCTTCCAGCAGGAGCTGTTTCTAAGTCCCCAGAGGGGTGTTTTTGGCTCACTGGGGAAGTCCTGTGCAGCCAGGTCTGCTCCATTCTGCCCTTGGTTTCAGCAGAAGGCAGAGGAGGACCTGCCAGAGCTCTCCAGCAATCTCCAGTTTGGGGAAACTTGGGTTGAATTGTACCTGCCTGGGTCAGGCTCCAGCCAAGGCAACTCCTTTGAGTTGGACCAAACTTGCCCAGGGCCAACCCTGGTGTGATCCTTGGGGTTGCCCTGTGCAGGACCAGGAGCTGGACTTGGTGATCTTTGGGGGGGGTCCCTTCCAATCCAAGTTATTCCAGGATTTCAACAGCCCTGGTGAGAGCAAACCCATCCTGCTGGGCAGCCTGAGAGGGCCCTGTCACCTCCCTGTCACCTCCCTGTCACCTCCCTGTCACCTCCCTGTCCCCACTGTCCACCTCCACACTATTGCCTTGGCCAGGGCTGTCCCGCCCTCCTGGCCACGCCACCCCCTTGTCCCCAGTCCCCACCTGGCTTGTGATACCAAAGACGTTCTCTATGCAGGAGAAAGCCTTCATTGCCACCCAGCACAGACCTTACAAGCCTTTGACAATGTTCTCTGAAATACCTCAAAATATTTAATGTATAGTTTATGTGATAAAAAAAAAAAAAATTACTTAGCTAGTTTTTGGAATTTGTGACTTGAAGCTTTATACTGTTAAATTATAATTTTGCAGAAGACGGCATGTTCTTATTTCTTTGATGCGTTCAATGGGAGACATATTGAATGTTAAGGAAATGAAAGCTGGATAGTTTCACGATTTAAAAAAAAAGAGAGAGAAAGAGAGAGAGAAAGAGAGAGAGAAAGATTAAAAAAAAAGGACCCTTGGAGTTTACAGATTTCATATTTAAACAAGTCCTTTTAAAAAAAAAAAGAAAAAAAAAAAGAAAAACTAATAATGATGACGATACCTTTGCGTTCAGATGTGTTACTTTTCTCTGAGTCATGTCGTATGAGAGTATTTATTATATGTGTTCTGTGTTCAAATGTAATTTAAAGAAGACAAAAAAAAAAAGAAAAAAAAAGACGAAATGAGAATTTGATTTATGCATGAAAAAAATATACTCTTTCTTGAAGTAATGTAATAATTATTGGGGGAGGGGTGGTCGGGTGGGAGCGGGAGGGGACAAACTGTGCTTTTTTTGTCCACGAGTTTTTGGTTGATGAAGAATTCTCTGCATGGATCATGGTTCTGTTCCAACTCACAACCACGGGAAGGTCATCCTTTACCCCCTCGGTTTCTTCCTTCACCTCTTTTGTTCCTTTCCTCACCCTGAAAATCTCTTGGCAGCCGTGGGGGGAGGCGGGGGCTGCTCGGGGTCCCCCGGGCAGGGGGGGGGGCACAGCCTGGCCCTGTGCCCAGCAAACAGGGTAAGGGAATCTGGGACACGGGACCCTGCTGTGCCCACCCATCCCTCCTGCCTCCCCCTGAGGTCTGGCTCCTCACTCTGCTTTGCTTTCTGTTTGTTTTGGGGGGGAGATTGTGGTTTTTGGGTTTGGTTCTTTTGCTTTTCCAGCTCTGCGGGTCAAATCCCAAGTGCAGCCAAAAGGAGGAGAGACAATCAGCCACCACCACGACCTGAGCTGGCAAAGCCATGGGGCTCCTGGTGTCCTCTGAGACAAGGGAAACAGCCCTGGGCACCCCAAAACCCCCCTCAGGGTGAGACTTCTCCAAGTGATGCTCCCAAATCCCTGTCCTTGGGATGACCTCTGCCCTTGCCCTGCACAGAAAGAGATGCTGAAAGTGCTGCTGCATCAAGGCCCAACTGGCCAGGCATGGGCTGGAGTGACCCATTTCTGGGGTCTTTGGCCTCAGGAATGTGGTTTGGGTCAGAGGCACAGCCAGCACTCTGTCCCCATCAGGTTTTCCTGTGCCACCAGCCTGGCTCTCACCCTGTGCAAAGACACCTGCCCTGGTGGAAGAAGAGTCCAGGCAGTGGAAGAGCCCCTGGAGGACCCACCAGATGGCCTCAGGGCACTTTGGAAGGGCTTTGGAGCTTCCTGAAATGCCCAGAGTCCACCCCTGAGTGGCTCCTTCCTCCTCTGCTCCTCCTTCTCTCCCTGCTTACAGACAGGAGCAGAGGAGCATTGAGAAGCCACATCTTTGGAGGCCAGGAGGGTGATGGGGACCTGGAGGAGGCAGTGGTGACATTCCCAGAGCATTTCCCTCAACTGCTGCTTCCTCAGACCTTCCCAACCTCTTTACCATTCAAGGTGGACCCATAGCTCAGCTCACCACGAGGAAAGAGATCTCAGCTCCTTCAGGCCCCACCAAAGTGGCCCCCAAAAGCCAAGGAAGGTGTTTTTCCATCTGCAGCCTTTGTCTGGTGCCAGCACAGCGATGCTCAGCACCAGGTGGTGGTGGAAGACCCCCTGACCAAGGACCTGGCTTTTAGGAGGAGATGATGTTGGTGCCAGCAGCACCACCCATCTGCTGCCCAACCCTTCTGCCCTCTGGAGAGCTCAGCATCCCCTCACGCCCCATTTCCTCCTCCAAGACCTTTTCCACCATGCGAAGCTTGAAGGCCAAGACCGCAATTAAACTGCAAGAAGGTTTGGACACGGCCCCAGTCACAGCTCCTTGGAGCTTACAGACACCAGCTGGGTTCCATCCTGAGTGATGGCTTGGGACAGCCTGGAGAAGCCAAGATCTGAGCCCTCTTCCCTGTCCTTTGGCCCACCAGGACTCTGCCTCGGCCGAGCCCTGCCCACCCCGGATCTGGCCGTGCCTGCTGCCCACACCAACCAAAATGCCTTGAGGAGCAACTTGCCACGATACCAAAGATTTTTTCCCCCTGCAGGTAATGACAATCCGAGCTCTGTCCTAAAGACAATTCTCTTGACCAGGGTTGCACCCAAAGGGCATTTTTGTGCTGTGGGGAGCAGGAGCAAAAACGGGGCCCTGGGAACACCTCCGAGGGTGGTGGAAGAGGAGGAGACCTGGGATCTCCCACTAAAACCTACTGGTTCATCCTGGCCAGTGTCTCCTGCTTGAATTGTGGGAGTTTTCAGGGATTTGGGTCATTCTGTGATGCCCCCAGTCACTCCAGTTCTTCCTGGAGTGGAAGTTTTCCAATTATGGCTTTTATACTTTGAAACCCCATTGCCATTGGAGCTCCTCTTTACTGTCGCTGTCGAGGCAGGACGGGAATGAGAAGACTCTGATCAGAAGGCTGCGAGAGTAAAACTCTGATTTATTCAAAATACATCACTCTTTTATACAGAGCTTTGTGAGGGCCAACTCCATTGGTTCTGAAGTGAAAACAACTCACAGCATTGGTGTACAGTGCTTGACACACAGTGATAGAACTTAACTATAAAAAATGTGAAAAACAAGAGAGATAAAGAATTATTTACATTCTTCTCCAGCTCCTTCCCATGCTTCTGCCTGGCCAGAAACTCCCCGTTTCTCTCTTTGACTGAACCTGAGACCCACACTTTACCTCTCTCGTGGGCATTGTTGGGCTGTCACTGCCCCATCTGCCTGTCCCTGTCCCCACCACATGTCCCCAGCACGGAGCTGGCTCCATCCCTTGTCTCAGAGGACACCCAGCCGTGGGGACCTGCAGGAGCTGCCACAAGGAACCCACTTCCTCTCACATCTTTGTTTGGTGTTTTTAAAGAGAGGAGATTAAAAATGCAAAGAGTAAAATTTGGGTTTGTTTTGGTTTGGTTTCTTTGTATTTTTTCCCTTTGATTTCTAAAGGAAACAAAGGAGTCAGACAGAATCCAGCCTGGCCAGGGAGAACTCACAGCCTCGGCTCTGCCAGCCCAGCCTCCTCCAGAAAACATTGCTCATTTTTCTGTACAGCAATAGGTGATGCTCGTCCTCGTCCCATGCAGTCTGAGGGCCACATCTCTGAGTTTTTAAATTACTTTTTCCTTCTAATTAAATTAATTTAATTTTTTTTTTGCTGCTGCTTCATTGTTACTCTCATGGGATAAGTTTTATTCTACAGCAAAATGCAATTGTTACTCCTCTGTGTCTTGCAACTATATTTGTTTAAGCTATTTACAAACGTTAAAAAAGAAAAAAAATAAAAAAGAGTCTTATGTGTCAGGCACTTTATCCAAAATGTGCTGTGTGCTCTGGAGTTTGTTCCTTGTTCTTTGCAATGAGTCACGCAGGGGAAGCTATCAGGAAACTCAACTCCAGCCTGTCAACAGGTTTTAAGAGAGAGAAAAAAAAAAAAATCTCTATTTGTTCATCCTCTACTGGTCATGACTGTGTTGTATTTCTGCAGCTTTCTGTTTCTTCAATAAATTATTTTCTAGTCATTCACCCTGGCGTGTGTGGTGTCCTGTGGTGGGGAGGGGTCGCTTCCCTCCCCTGCCCCCTTTTACCACCTCACTCCTCCTGGCCTGGGAGGCTCAGGGATCGTGCCAGGGAAAGTTTCTCCCCCTCTTTTCCACCTGGCAGCTGCAGCAGTAAGAGCTTTCCCAAAGGACAGATTTTTATTTCTTGGCACCATCCAATCCCTTCTGGCCAGAACCCAAGGGAAACACTTTAATTCTCACAAACCCGGTGCAGATGAGGCCAAAGCACTTGTAAAACAAACCCATGGAATCACGTGTGCTGCAGGCAGGGCCAAGCACCCGTGGATGATTTAATTGTGCATATTTTTACCCAGATTTCTTCTCCTACTGCGCCTTTTGCCACGACACGAGCACAGTTGGCACAGGCAGAGGGACCACGGGACCTTTCAGTGCTGCTTTCACCCTTTGTGGCACAGAAGAGGTTTCCAGGAAAAGAGAGAAAAGCTAAAAAGTCCTTTTAATTAAAAACCAAAACACATTAAAAGGGTGATCCAGTCACCAGTCAGGTGTTCACACATCTCCAGCAGCCACTGCTGGTGGCCCTGGCTTTGTGGGACATGTCCCCTGTGCCCAGCAGGCAGCACTTCTCCACATCCCCCCCAGAAGTGATTTTTGGGACTTTGCAGAGCCCGTGACCATAAGCTGTCCCCAAAGATGGGGACACCAGGCCTGGGGGAGTGGTGTGGAGGTGGGGCAGGGCACAGAGAGGACACTGCCCCTCGTGCAGGGACAGCAAAGGCAGGAGCTGGGAGTGCTGGGGAGTGACAAGGAGGGCTGCAGGAGCCAGGCTGGTCTGGCTGGAGAAGAAAAACCAATCAATCAATCAATCAATCAATCATACCTGGCTGCCTCTCCAGAAATTAGGAGAGATTTTAAAGTTACACTGCTTGAGTCTGAGCCACCTGAGCTGGTGGAGGTGACCCTGCCCATGGCAGAGGGTGGAATGAGATGAGCTTTAAGGTTCCACAATGTGGGAAATAAATTTGTAGAAAATAGTGTGCACCTGTATGCAAACTTTGAGGTAAGAAATGTTGATTTAGAAATGCCATGGAATAGGAGAGGTGTTGTTAAGAGAAAAATAGAACTAGAAACAAATTTCAAAGGATAACCTTTCAAATAAGACTAGATACTTCAAAGAAATAGGACTATGAAAGATGCATTGTAATAAGACCCATGAGGAGTAATTTAGATGATTGGCTTTAAAACCATTTAGAACACAATGTTGCAAAAGCTGATAAACCAAGAAACGCTCATAATCCATTGTAATTAAGAAATAATCAGCTTCTGATTGTAATAGCATAAATTATAACATCTGTATTGTCTCAATCTTCTCATAAAAATGTCTCTCAGTTGCCAAATCTCTAAATCCAAAAAAAAAAAAACCAAAAAAAACCCCAAAAAACCCAACATAATCCAACACCACCCCAGCCACTCCAGGATCCTGTGACCGGGGGCAGCTACACAGAGGGCATGGCCGGGGTCCCCTGGGGGCACAGGGCAGGCGGGACACTGTGGGTGTCCCTGTCACGCAGAGTGTCCCTGTCACACAGAGTGTCCCTGTCACACCGGCTGTCCCTGTCACGCAGAGTGTCCCTGTCACACCGGCTGTCCCTGTCACGCAGAGTGTCCCTGTCACACAGGCTGTCCCTGTCACGCAGAGTGTCCCTGTCACGCAGAGTGTCTCTGTCACGCAGAGTGTCCCTGTCACACCGGCTGTCCCTGTCACGCAGAGTGTCCCTGTCACACAGAGTGTCCCTGTCACGCAGAGTGTCCCTGTCACGCAGAGTGTCCCTGTCACACAGAGTGTCTCTGTCACACCGGCTGTCCCTGTCACGCAGAGTGTCCCTGTCACACAGAATGTCCCTGTCATGCAGAGTGTCCCTGTCATGCAGAGTGTCCCTGTCACGCAGAGTGTCCCTGTCAGGCAGAGTGTCCCTGTCACACCGGCTGTCCCTGTCACGCAGAGTGTCCCTGTCACGCAGAGTGTCCCTGTCACGCAGAGTGTCCCTGTCACGCAGAGTGTCCCTGTCATGCAGAGTGTCCCTGTCACGCAGAGTGTCCCTGTCACGCAGAGTGTCCCTGTCACGCAGATTGTCCCTGTCACGCAGGCTGTCCCCACGGGTGATGAGTCCCGCGTAGCCCTCCCGGTGGGAGAAGGCGTAGCCGGAGCGGCGGCGGAAGGAGCCGTGTGGGACGTGGGAGCGCAGCTCCACCGGGGGCTCCCGCTTGGCCGTCAGGTGGATCTTCTGCAAGGACACACAGAGGTCAGGGCTGGGGACGTCTCCCAGCTGCCCAAAGTGGATCCACTGAGGAGTTTTAATAAATCTCTGCTTTATTCTTTAGCCCTGTCCAGTCTCTGTTCTAGCTCAGCCTTCACAAGGCCTCCCCTTCACGTCCCCCCTTGGGCAGCACAAGAGCCCAGCCAGGGCTGCACCCAAGATGAACCAAAATAGTCACAAAATGCACAACTGCTCATGGGGTCTCTCACTTTTATCATTCTCACTTTTATTTTATTTTTGGAGTTCTGCTCCATTTGCATCTTGGAGTTCATTGTCCAATTCCAGCTCCAGCCCAGGCAGTCCCATCATTCTCCTTTTTCTCTCTTTATTTCACATTGTTTGTGCTCTTGGGCCTGAGATTTGGATCATTTGTCCTTGGTCCCCAGCTGGAGAAGGAATTGTTTTGTCTCCCTTTTCTGTGCCCATCCCCTCACCATCCCCTAATGTGAAGCCCAGACCCACACACTAAACAGCACAGAACCTGAAAAACATAAAAGCTCAAACCTGAGGCAACAAGGGAGTGTAGGGGCATCTCCACCAGGGCACGGCTTGGCTCCCAGCTCTACATTGACCTCATTTTCCATGGGGATGAGGGATGTGGGGATTCTCCAGGGGATCTGCAAAGCTCAGGGAGCTCTGGAGCACAGTGGTCACCTCCCAGGCAAAGCCTCAGCCAAAGGTGGGACACACAGTAGGCACAGGAACACCCTCCTCTGCTGCCTCAGGTTTGAGCTTTTACATTTTTCAGGTTCTGTGCTGCTTTAGTGTGTGGGTCTGGTCTTCACAGAGCAGGGAGACAAAACAATTCCTTCTCCAGCTGGGGACCAAGGACAAATGATCCAAATCTCAGGCCCAAGAGCACAAACAACGTGGAATGAAGAGAGAAAAAGGAGAATGATGGGGCTGCCTGGGCTGGAGCTGGAATTGGACAATGAACTCCAAGATGCAAATGGAGCAGAACTGATCAAAGTGAGAGACCCCGTGAGCAGTTGTGCATTTTGTGACCATTTTGGTTCATCTTGGGTGTAGCCCTGGCTGGGCTCTTGTGCTGCCCAAGGTGGATCCACTGAGGAGATCCTTTTACTAAATCCCTGCTTTATTCTTTAGCCCTGTCCAGTCTCTGTTCTAGCTCAGCCTTCACAAGGCGTCCCCACCAGGACAGGGTTTGGATCCCAGCTCCACCATGATGGATCCTTTTCCATGAGGGGATGGGGGATGTGGGGACTCTCCCAGGGGGCTGCAAAGCTCACAAAGCTCTGAAGCACAATCTCAAGCCCTGCTTCTACCTGGACTCTTTTGAAGGTATAACCCACAACCCTGGTGGAGGTGAGCTCCATCAAGGCTGGGGTGGCACCAGGACCTGCAGCAGACCCCAGACCCTCCTGGGGGATCCTGGAGGACAATTCCTTACTGCAACCAAAAGCAGACCCTCTCCAAGAGCTGGGTCAGCTGTCTTCACCCTCGCTGCTGCTGGACCATGGAACAATTTTGGGAGAGGCCCCTGGAGTCAGAGTTGTACCAGTGTCATGAAGGACCACCATGAGTGGGACCACCAAGGAGAGGAGACATGTCCCAGCACTACAGTCCAGGCTTCCCTGGGGAATCTCCCCTTGCCATCCCCAATCCCAGACACCAACAGCAGTGGGAAGCACTGCCCTGGCAGTGCCCCCAGCCCTCACCTGCTGGGTGGTGGCTGTGCCCAGGGTGGCACGGACGGCGTGGACGGTGAGCGAGGGGAGGGTGTTGACCACCAGGGCCAGCAGGACCACGAGCAGGACATAGGGGTCGGTCAGGGCATTCCAGCTGGCATCTGTCAACACAGCTGTGATGTTTGGGTAGGGAACATGGAGAGGGAACAGGGAACAAGTGCTGGGGGACAGGCCCCCAGCCAGGAAGGTGCTGAGGGCTCTAAAGAGGAGACAACACCAAGACTGGAGTTAAAAGTCAAGACAGCAGTTCAAGAATGAGGAGGTGATCTGCAGGGTGGGAAACAGCTCCTAGCACCAAGGCCAGGGAAGGGAAGGGCTGAGGGGGTCCCCAGGGCACTCACCTGGGAAACGGAAGATGGCAGGGGCTATCCTGTAGGCATCAACACTTTGGGTCAGGAAGGAGAAGAGGCAGAAGAGGAGCAGGCTGGCTGTGACCATCAGGAAAGACAGCACTGTCCAGTACTGAGTGTCCAGGACAATCTGTGGGGACAAGGCAGAGTGGGCAGAGCACACAGTCTCATGAGGGCTGTGGTGAGCCTCTTCCATTCATCTGCTTTGTCCAAATCCCTCCTCCATCCCAGGGAGATCATCCTCCAGCCATGAGGGATAGTGCCAGAGCCCAGGGACCCTGAAGATCTGCCGTGGGGCAGGATGAGGAAAAGCAGATCGGTGCTCACCTCCACGAGGACCGACAGCAACGCTGACAGGGCCACTGTGACAGAGAAGGACTCATAGTCACCCACGGCCTTGGTGCCAACACGATCCTCAAAGGCCCAGAGTGTGATGTAGAAGCTGATGAGGGAGGTGCCCACTCCGTGCAGGAGGGTGACACCAAAAATGCGGTAATTGAAGAGCTCATCCTGCTGCCCGACCACGTAGAGCTCAGGGAACTCCAGGCTCTTCTTGGCACTCACATCCTGCTGGGAGAGCATCCCAGAGGGGATGCAGGGATTGGGACATGGAGGGAGGGAATCCCAGAGGGGATGCAGGGATTGGGGCAAGGAAAAAATCCCAGAGGGGATGGAGGGATTGGGACAGGGAAAAAATCCCAGAGGGGATGCAGGGATTGGGACAGGGAGGGAGGGAATCCCAGAGGGGATGCAGGGATTGGGACATGGAGGGAGGGAATCCCAGAAAGGATGCAAGGATTGGGGCAGGGAGGGAATCCCAGAAGAGATGCAGGGATTGGGGCAGGGAGAGAGGGAATCCCAGAGGGGATGCAGGGATTGGGGCAGGGAGAGCATCCCAGAGGAGATGCAGGGATTGGGGCAGGGAGGGAGGGAATCCCAGAGGGGATGCAGGAATTGGGGCAGGGAGAGAATCCCAGAGGGGATGCAGGGATTGGGACATGGAGGGAATCCCAGAGGGGATGCAGGGATTGGGGCAGGGAGGGAATCCCAGAGGGGATGCAGGGATTGGGGCAGGGAGAGAATCCCAGAGGGGATGGAGGGACTGGGGCAGGGAGGGAATCCCAGAGGGGATGCAGGGATTGGGGCAGGGAGAGAATCCCAGAGGGGATGCAGGGATTGGGGCAGGGAGAGAATCCCAGAAGAGATGCAGGGATTGGGGCAGGGAGGGAATCCCAGAGGGGATGCAGGGATTGGGGCATGGAGGGAATCCCAGAGGGGATGCAGGGATTGGGGCAGGGAGAGAATCCCAGAGGGGATGCAGGGATTGGGACATGGAGGGAGGGAATTCCAGAGGGGATGCAGGGATTGGGGCAGGGAGAGAATCCCAGAGGGGATGTAAGGATTGGAGCATGGAGGGAATCCCAGAGGGGATGCAGGGATTGGGGCAGGGAGAGAATCCCAGAGGGAATGCAGGGACAGGGGGAGCAGGATGGGGCCACCCCACCCCACACACCCTGTGGGGAACTGCAGTGGGTCCCTCTGCCCAGTGGCTCTGGGGTGATGTGCAGGTGGGTGCAGGGACTGCTGGGCTGGTTCCCCCCTGCCCAGGGTGGCACAGGGCTGGGTGAGCCCGGGGAAGCCGTACCTGCTCCAAAAGGCCCACGGACAGCACGGGGTAGGCAGTGTAGAAAATATTGTAGAGTGCAAGGAACCAGCCGTCATACAGAGGCTAGAAGGGAACAGGGAGAAGCTGTGAGCTTGGAGGTGCTTTGGAAAGACTCACAAAGGATGTCCAGGCCCCAGGACACTCAGATGCAAACATGGAAATCCCCTTGGACATCCCCCATCCCCTGCATCAGCCCCACATTGTCTGTAGGGTCATGCTGCAGGCAGAGATGGGGCTGGAGCTCCACATGTTGCTGGCCAAGTCATACTTGATGTTGGCCCTTGGGATCAAAGCTCCCATTTTGGAGGAAAGCAGCTTAATGCACATGGGATCCTGCATCTGTCCAAGACTGAACTGCAGCTCACAAGTGTGCAAGAGGTTTTACAGTCAGTTGTGTGAGCCAGAGAGGAGTTTGATAAGAGGATCCATATTTACCCTTGAAAGAACTTCCTGCCAAGGTCATTGACAGAGATATCAAGAAAGAAAAAAGGATAAATAAGAGAAACCTGCAGCTGTATACTCCAATAAGCACTTTGTTTGTCTTTTCTGACCAATGAGTAAAGTGTAAACTTAGGAGTTTCCTAAGGATGTATAAAAAGAATGCATGATACAATAAAAAATTCTTTGAAGCCTTCTGAAAATGGAGTGTTGCTTTGTGTTGTCTCCGTCTCAACTACGACACACAAGGAGATCCTGAGTTTCCCCAGGGTTCTTTCCCAGTCCAGCCAGGCAAAAAGCAGATAACCAGTACGGACAACCAGTTGTGTCTCAGTCAGAATTTGGACATGGTGAGGGAGAAAAGGGGACCTGGGTGGTGATGTGGACAGCTGTCCTCCAGGCAGCCCCAGGCACGATCCCTGGTGCAGAGACCTCCACAGGATGGATGTGACCCCTGCACCCCTCACCTGGGCCGTGAATCCGCTGTGGAAAGCAAACCACACCTGGGCCAGGAGGCCAGCGAAGGTCTTGTAGAAGAAGTAGCGGAGGAACTTGCAGATGCGCAGGTAATTCCAGCGGCCGTGGACGAGGAGCAGGCGCTGCAGGAAGGAGAACTGGGCCAGGGCGTAGTCGCTGCACTGCACGGCCTGCAGCCCCTCCAGCCCGCTGATGCCCACCCCGATGTCCGCGGCTGCGGGTGGCAAACGCACATGGGGACGTTTGGAGGGAGCTGGGGGATTGATTTCCCCATGGGTTGTCCCCAGGAATGTGAATCCAGGAGTGACAGACAAAGGGAACAAGCCCCCTCTGTCCCACATCCTGGATATTCCAGGAGTGGTGTGCCAAGAGCACAGCCCCGTGTCAGGGCTGCTGGGAGGGGTGGGCATGGCTCTGCCACCTGCCCACGCTGGGGTTTGAAGGTTCATCAAGGCTCATCCCAGATGCCAAAAGCACGTGGGCCACCCTGCACTTGCCTCGGGCTCTGTCTCTCTCAGCAAGTTTTGGGGTTCCCCTCCCAGTTCCTCACCCCAAAGTGGAGGGTGAGGTGGTGGAGATGACACATGGGGCACCACCATCACCAGTGGGACACACCAACAGAACCCCAACCTCCCCCTGGCCGAGCCTCACTTTTGATCATGTTGACATCGTTGGCCCCGTCCCCGATGGCCAAGGTGACGGCCTTCTTGTGCTTCTTCACCAGCTGCACCATCAGGGCCTTCTGCTTGGGGGTCACCCTGCAGCAGATCACAGCCTGGCAGCTGGTGGCCAGGTCCACGAAGGCCTTCTCCACCAGACCTCCCTGGTCCTGCGAGGCCTCTGCCCCGTCACAGCGCAGCCACCGCCATGGCCACCCCTTCTTCTCCTTCAGCACCTCTCCCGTGTGGAGCATTTTGTCCTTGGGGGAGAGCAGACGTGGCTGGGACCTCACCCATAGCCCTCAGAGCCCTCAGCTCCTCAGCAATGCTCTCAAGAGCCCCAAAAGAGTGACTCTGGCTTTCACCAAGCCCAGCACACAGTGGGTGCTGTGACCATGAGCCCAGGATGTCCCAGTGTGACCACGAGAGCTTGAGGTCACCACCCAGCAGCTTTGGCCAAAGCCCCCCAGCACCAAATGCTCAGTGTAAGGTTGTTCTCCTCTCCACCCTTCATTCCCCAGCCCCAAATGGGCTTTTCCCACCTTTTGGGCAGGAGGAGAACCACGTCCTGGTGCCACCCAGGACTCTGATACCACAGGGGAGGAGATCATCCAGGTGCCACCTTACCAGGAAGTCCCCGCTGATGATGATGGCTCTCTTGTGGCACGGAGTCTCTGGACGCTGCTGGGAGAGGCTGCACGGGGCGTCCCCACCACCACTGAGGTTGTTGTTGCTCTCCCAGTAGGTCTGGAGGATCTCGCTGTGGGAGGAAGGGGGGTTGGACATGAGCTGGGGAAACTGGGAATGCTGGTGAGGCCTTGGTCATCTCAAAGCTAGGGAGGTGGGACTGTGGTGGGAACAGGAGGAACAGGTTCACCATATCAGAAATCAGCCTGGTTTAGAGGCTGGAGAGAAGCTTAAAGCCTTTCTGGGCAAAGCCTGCCAAGGAGGAGCGTGGGGTGGGAGAAGAAACAGGTGGGGAGACCTGGAAAAACACCAGAGGAAGACCATGGACATCCAGGCTGGCACAGGGAAGAAGTTCCTCTGGCTGAGTCAAGCTCTCCCCACCCTGTCCCAGTTCCTCTGCCCTAGGGTGTCCTCAGCAGGGACAGCAATGTTGTGAGCCAGGAGGGGACCATTCCTCACCTGACCTCCTTCTCCTCCAGGATCTCCATGTCATCTGTCAGCAGCCTGCAGGCGTAGCCGATGTTCATCGCCGTCTCTGCAACACCCAGCTCTCAATGGTCCGTGGTGCTGCCCCCCAGCCCAGGGCAGCCCCCAGCCCTTGGCTCCAAGAGCCCTTGGTGGGCAGCAGCTCCTTCCCCTGCCTCAGTTTCCCCTGGTAGGTGGGATGTGCTGCTATCGGAGAGTAAAGGGAGCAGCAGGACCAGTTCCTGCCCACTTCCAGTGGCTTTTCTCCTCTCTGGTCCTGATTAGGGGAGAAGTGAAACGTGTTGAGGGGTCTGGGGGTGCCTCCACTGACCTTGTTTGTCTCCTGTCAGCACCCACACTTTGATGTTGCCCAGTTTCAGCAGCTGGATGGTCTCAGGGACTCCATCTTGCAGCTTGTCCTCGATGGCTGTGGCCCCAAGCAGCTGGAGGGGGGTGACTGGGTGTCATGGCACGGGGCAGGGCAGGACACAGAGGTGGGAATCACCCCTGGATCCAACCAGCTGGGGGTAGACACAGCTTGACACCCCAGTGTCCACTGGCATGTCACAAAGTCACCCCTTGGAGAAGACTCCTCCCCAGGGAATGGGTGTTGGGTTGGACACTTCACCTCCTCATTCTGGAGAGCCAAGCCCCACATGCCTGAGCTCTGGGGCACAGACAGCTCCTCCTGACCCCAGCCCCATCCCACCTGCAGGTTCTGCTCCATCTCCTCGTAGAGCCTGTCCAGCTCCTGGGCACGGTGCTGCAGCAGCACCGTGGCCTCGCGGTGCCTCCGGCTCCAGGCGCGGAACTCGGCCTCGCTCACCTCCCTGCTGGCCACGCACAGCGTCCGCAGCGTCTCCTCTGCGAAGCGCTGAGGGGGGACACATCAGCACTCCCCTCCCTCCCCAGGAGAGGACCAGGAGACCCTCACAGGACCACGGCATCACCCCAGAGCCAGAGACACTGCAGGACATGGGCATCTATCTCCCTTCCCTCATCCTACAGCATCCCCAGGAGCATCCCTGGATGCAGAAGACCAAAGGTGGACTCCATGCCCTCTTATCCCCATCCCACAAGCAGGTGAGGCTCCTAGAGCAGAAGGCAGAACCAAAATCCCTAAGGCAGGGGGAGGAAGAGCAGCAGGGCACGGACTGCAGGACACCCAGCCCAAAGCCAGCAGGAGGGACAGCAGTCCTGTCACCCTGGGAGGAGGGACAGCAGTTCTGTCACCCCGGGAGGAGGGACAGCAGTCCTGTCACCCCGGGCTGGTGTGGCACTCACATCCAGAGCCCTCTCGGTGAGGTTCTCCTCGGGCCCTCGCCTCCGCAGCCTCTCCAGGATGACAGTGTCAGCACCCTTGGTGTAGAGCCGGATGGTGCCCTGGGGGTCTCGCACTGCCAGGGAGGGAAGGACACCTCAGGTCCCCTCAGAGACGGCTCCCACTCGTGGCTGTCCCCACACAGTGGCCACGCTGGCCCGTGCTGGCCCCCAGAAGGCACCAGAGGGCTCGCTGGTGATTTCGAAGCACAGGATCTCCCCAGATCTGCACCAGCACGGGGCAGAATCAGGGACTGTCAGTTCCTCACACAACTCCTCTGAGCCCTGGATTTAATTCCTCTCTCTTGGCTGCTCAAACCCTTCTTGGCTGCCTCGACCAAATCCACAGGGATGACCAGGATGACCCTTAGGAGCCACCTGCAGCCATCCCAGTGCCACCCTTGTAGGGCTGAGCACAGAAGGGACCCTGGGACAGCCCAGCCCACCACTCTCACCCAGGACAGACATCCTCTTGCGGTCGCTGTTGAAGTCCAGCATGGCCAGCACCTCGTACGTCCTGGTCCTGCCCAGCTCCCTGATGGTGATGGTGTCCTGAGTCCGGGCCAGGAAGACGTAGCCCAAGTTCCTGGCTGCCAACACCAGCGCTTCCTCATCTGGGGAAGCTGCCTGGTAAACCAGCTGGTCTGCAGGAGAGGAGGAGGAGGATGGCACACAGAGACTCCCAGCAAACACCTCTGGGACAGCTGCAGTGCCCCGTTCTTGCCCAGCTGTGACACCCTGAGCCTGAGCTGCCAGGCTGGGGAAACTCAGTCCTGCTCATCTCATCTGGAGAGGGACTGGGACAAGGGATGGAGGGACAGGACACAGGGAATGGCTCCCACTGAAAAAGAAATTTAGGTGGGATATTGGGCAGGAATTGTTCCCTGGCAGGGTGGGCAGGCCCTGGCACAGGGTGCCCACCCTGGATCCCTGGCAGTGCCCAGGCCAGGCTGGACATTGGAGCTGGAGCAACCTGGGACAGAGGGAGGTGTCCCTACCATGGCAGGGGTGGAACTGGATGAGTTTTTAGGTCCCTCCCAAGCTCAGCCATTCTGGGATTCTCTGACCCTTTTTGCTCATCACCCCAGCCAGGATTATCCCCGTTGTGTTTTCTTCCCACCCGTGAGCTTTAAAACACCCCCAAACACAAATCCATGGCACAGGGACAGTGGCATGGCCATCCACAGGCTCTCCCACCCCACAGCTGAGTTTGGCACTGCCAAACCCCACCACGGCCCCACAGCCCCGAGGGGCAGCTCAACCCACCGCCCCTGTCCTCCACCATGACGGTGTGGCAGAGGGCCAGCAGCCTCAGGAACTCCCTCAGCACCGGGTCCTTGTCCCTGCGGGCGGCTTCCAGCAGTGTCACATCGCCAACATCCGACTTCTGCTCCCCGGGGAGCTCCCGGCTCAGCGCCGAGCCCTGCAGAGGCACGGGCAGGATGGAGGAGCTGGGTGGCACCGAGCACTCTGTGTCCCCAGGAGCATCAGGATGTGACACAGTGGCACTCTGTGTCCTTCTGAGGTGTCCTCCCCTCCCTGCCAGTGTCACCAGTGTCACCAGTGTCACCAGAGTCACCAGAATCAGCAGAGTCACGAGAGTTACCAGAGTCACCAGAGTCAATAGTGACACCAGAGTCACCAGAATCACCAGTCACCACTGTCACCAGTGTCACCAGTGTCACCAGAATCACTAGTGTCACCAGTTACCAGAGTCACCAGTGTCACCAGAGTCACCAGAGTCACCAGAGTCACCAGTGTCACCAGAGTCACAAGTGTCACCAGTTACCAGATTCACCAGTGTCACCAGAGTCACCAGTGTCACCAGACTCACCAGTGTCACCAGTGTCACCAGAATCACCAGACTCACCAGTGTCACCAGTGTCACCAGAATCACCAGAGTCACCAGTGTCACCAGTGTCACCACAGTCACCATAGTCACCAGAATCACCAGTGTCACCAGAGTCACCAGAATCACCAAAGTCACCAGAATCAGCAGTCACCAGAGTCACCAGTGTCACCAGTGTCACCAGTGTCACCAGTTACCAGAATCACCAGTGTCACCAGTGTCACCAGAGTCACCAGTGTCACCAGAATCACCAGTGTCACCAATTACCAGAATCACCAGTGTCACCAGTGTCACCAGAATCAGCAGTCACCAGAGTCACCAGAGTGACCAGTGTCACCAGAATCACCAGAGTCACCAGTGTCACCAATTACCAGAATCACCAGAATCACCAGTGTCACCAGTGTCACCAGAGTCACCAGAATCAGCAGTCACCAGTGTCACCAGTGTCACCAGTGTCACCCGAATCACCAGTGTCACCAGTTACCAGTGTCACCAGTGCCACCCATGCCACCAGTGCCACCAGTGTCACCAGTGTCACCCTAATCACCAGAGTCACCAGAGTCACCAAAATCACCAGTGTCACCAGAGTCACCAGAATCACCAGATTCACCAGTCACCAGTGTCACCAGTGTCACCAGAGTCACCAGAGTCACCAGAATCACCAGAGTCACCAGAGTCACCAGAGTCACCAGAATCACCAGAGTCACCAGAGTCACCAGTGTCACCAGTTACCAGAGTCACCAGTGTCACCAGTGTCACTAGTGCCACAGTGTCACTAGTGTCACCATAGTCACCAGAGTTACCGGTGTCACCAGAGTCACCAGTGTCACCAGTTACCAGAGTCACCAGTGTCACTAGTGTCACCACTGTCACCAGTGTCACCAGTGACAGCCCCATGGCACGGGGACCGGGATTTACTCACCGGTGCCTGTTTGTTCCCATGGCCTGTGCCTGGACCTGCCAAAATAAAAATAATCCCATTAAAGGAGGGCTGGCAGGGACCTTGGAGCAGCTTCTCTGGAGGGACTCCGGCTCCTGATGGCCAAAAAACCAATCAAAGGGCACCAGCTCAGCATCTGCGCAGGGTCAGACTCCACTGGGATGTCTCCAGTGGAAATATCCTCATTTTCTTGGCTTTTTGTTCAGATTTTCACCCTGATTTTAATATAAAAATTCTAGTCTACTTTCAGCTGCATTTCCTGGGAGATGCTGCATTTGGCCAAAGCTAATTACATATATTCACTCTAACTGAATAGCTTAAGGACAATGATAATTTTATAATAAAATAAAAAATAAAAACTTCCACAAATAGAAAAAAAATTAATCTACAAGCTTAAAAAAAACTTAGATTAATAGAAAAATGAAATAAACAAACATTAAATAAAAAATCATAAACTTAAACTTCTATAAGTATAAATAAAATTGTACCTTAAATAAATAAAAAACTATATTAATAACAAAAATTATAATATAGAAATAGAATTATATCAAGCTAAAATGTTAAAAATTATAACATATATAAAAACATATATAATTTATATATATAAACATATATATAATATATCAAAAACCCATTAAACCAAAATATCCAAAATACAACAAAAATTAAATAAAAATATAAACTTAAAACCAAAATAAGCTTTATAACAATTTAGAAAAAAATTATAAAATTATATATTATCATGTAATAAAAACATATTAATAAAATTACCATAGATGGTGCCGTTGATGCAGCACTTCTTGAAGCTCATGATGTTCTGGGTCAGGGTGCCCGTCTTGTCCGAGAAGATGAACTGGATCTGGCCCAGCTGGTCGCTGAGGCTGGTGCTCCTGGCCTCGGCTGGGATGTCCTTGGCACCATAATACATCTCCAGATCCCAGTTAATGAAGCAGCTGTTCACCAGGTAGATGAATTCAAACCTAGAGAACCCAGGAGGAGAAAACAGGGGAGAAGGAGGTGGTGTTCCTCAAGCCCAGGGTGCTGGGGACCTGAGGCAGGAAGGAAAGGCAGGTGGACATCCCCACTGCTCTGAGCTTGGGTGAGGCCAGAGGGGTTTCATCACCCACTGGTTCCCTCTGGAATTGTGGCCCTTGGTGACCAAATTCACAAATCTGGAGGTCCAGTAAAGGGCCCAAAAATTTATAAACAGCTTTTTCCAACCTAAATTGTGATTGTTGGCTGCACAGAGCAGCTGCACTCTTCTCCTTCCCATCCTTGCTGCTGTCCATAGGAAGCCCAGGAATATCTCAGATCCTGCTCCCAGGGAGCTGCACCTTCCTCAGAGCCATCCTCAGCCTGCCCATGATTCCCAATATCCCATCTAACCCTGTTCTCTGGCAGTGGGAGCCATTCCCTGTGCCCTGTCCCTCCATCCCTTGTCCCAAGTCCCTCTCCAGGGATGCCCAGGGCTCACATCCCTGCTCTGCTTTTGCCCTGGAAGATCTCAACTCCCATCCACCCTTCCCCTCTCCTGGCTAAGGAAGCACCTGGGAATGACCTGGGCCACACCTGGACCTTCATTCTGGGGCCGTGACCCAAGTCCCAGGCGAGGGGCGAGGGCAGAGGGTGGGTGCTGGGCCCTGGTCCCTGCCAAGCTCCGTGGTCCTTACGTTATGTACATGGACATGGGAATGATGATGCTCAGGAGGATGGTGAAGCCCCAGAAGTTGAGGAAGGCCTGCTGGGCAGGGCTGGTGTGCTGGTAGAGGGCAGCCAGGTAGCTGTGCTTCTCCTGGAACGTCCTGGCCCAGAACCCAGAGGCCACAGCAAGGCCCAGGGACGTCACCAACAGCAGCAGGAAGATCTGGTGGGAAACCAGCATGAGAAGGTCCCAAGATGAGAAAGCCCCAGGATCACAGAGCCCACCAGAATCTTCTCTAGAAGGCTCCAGGGAGAGCTCAGAGCCCCTGGCAGGGCCTGAAGGGGCTCCAGGAGAGCTGGAGAGGGACTGGGGACAAGGCCTGGAGGGACAGGACACAGGGAATGGCTCCCACTGCCAGAGGGCAGGGCTGGATGGGAGATTGGGCAGGAATTGTTCCCTGGCAGGGTGGGCAGGCCCTGGCACAGGGTGCCCACCCTGGATCCCTGGAAGTGCCCAAGGCCAGGCTGGACAGGGCTTGGAGCAATCTGAAGGTGTCCCTGCCATGGCAGGGGTGGCACTGGATGGGCTTTGAGGTCCCTCCCCACCCAAACCATTCTGGGAATCTCTGAACACATTAAACCCAAGATATTTTGGACCGAATATTTCAAGGTGAAGAAAAGCAGCACCACCCAAGCAAGAGGCCTCTCATGAGGAGCAGGGCAGAGGTCTTGGCCCCACACCCACCACGATCACCAGCCGGTCCATCAAGTGGTCCAGCTTGGTTTTCTTCCTCTTGATCTTCCCTGAGTTCCTCATGATTTTGGAATCAAACCCTGGGCAGGAAACATTTCCAAAGTAAAAATGCAAATCCTCAGAAGGTTCACCTGCAGGTCAGTGAGGCTGCTTCCCTCCATGCTGACACCTCCCCTCCCGTGAGGAGACCCTCCCTCCATCAGTGTCCATGGAGCTGTGGTTGCACGCTCCAAAATGTGATGCTCACAGCAGCTCTCACCCCTCCCCCATCCTGGTTGGACCCAGGATGAGTGGAAATATCCAAGGCCAGGCTAGACAGGGCTTGGAGCAGCCTGGGGCAGTGGGAGGTGTCCCTGCCATGGCAGGGGTGGCACTGGATGAGCTTTAATGTCCATCCCAACCCAAACCAGTCTGGGATTCTCTGATTCTCTGAACATGTTAAACCCAAGCTACGTTTGGTTTTAGCTGGGGGATAACCCAGGATGAGGAGAGGTCTCCCACCAGTGACTCCAACACCACCGGGACACACCGTGGCAGCTCCTCCACCTTGTGCCAGCCACGAGCATCACCTGGAGGTGCTGGGAGCGCTTGGGCAGCTGAAATCCCGGCTCTGCCAAGGAATTCCTGCCCTTCCCAGCCTGGGCAGCACCACTCACCTGCATAGAGCACCAGGCCGTAGCACAGGGCCGTGTTGCGGACGCGGCAGCCCCGCAGCAGGATCCGGTCGCCATCCAGGGCGTGCGTGCGGCCCCGCCAGCGCAGGATGCCCGTGAAGCTGTGCATGCGGCTGTTGGGCTCCTCACACCTCACTCGCCCTGCCACAGGGGAGGTCAGGGCACAGGGAGAACCTTCCTCCCCTCTCAGCCTCACGTGTCCCCCCCGCCAAAAATGCGAGAGATTGGTTTGTAATGGTAAAAATATAGGTTATTACTGTTAGAAGTATCAGCAGGGTTGTGTGGAAAAGCTAACAGGCTGAAAAGGTTGTAAAATATTATTTAAAAAAATTATAATTTTAATAAATGTGTCAATCATTATAACCAAGAAATATGTTGGCTTCTGATGGAATGGCGTAAGAGTTTTGCATCTTCTATGCCTCACGCTTCATCAAGAGTAATAATGGAGTAAAATCTTTTCAAACACCTCTCAGTTACCCCATCTCTGTAAAAAGCTGAGAATAATCCAGTACTCAGGGCCTCAGGGAGATCCAGAGTTTGTCAGAGCATCTCTAGGTGGGATTTGGATGGCTCAGATTAAGGCTAATGGAGGTGCTGGGAGGTTGGTCAGCGCAGGAACCGCACTGGGGAAGGTACAAACACAACCCCCTTCATCCCCAAGGCCTTGGAGAGGGGAGTTTTGCTTCCTGTGGAGGAGCAGCAGGGGCTGAGCTCAGCTTTGGGAACCAAGAGCTTGCTTACAGCAGGAAAATCAAGATCTAGGGCAGGGGCAAGGTGCCCAACCCTGATGGATCCATCACAGAAGTGATGGGAAGTGCCTTTGTTGGACTGATGGGGACAGGGGGGCAGAGAATTCCCAAGGCTGAGTCCATCCCATCCCAGTGGGACTGGCCATGTCCTCCCCCAGCCAGCAGACTCACCATCAAAGGCAGCCATGCTCTCCTCGCTCCCCAGCTCCTGGTGGGTGACCAGAAGGGCCTGTCTGAACTTCAGGTTGGTTTCCCTGTGAGCAGGAGCCAGGGAAAGGAAAATAAACCAACTTTGTGGGGTGACAGAGCTGTTCATCCTCCTGTCAGGCCCAGGGGACAGAGACAGCCATTAATTATCAGCTAATTACACAAGTGGTGGCAGTGAAATGCCAGAGAAGGACCTGTCATGCCAGACGTGGAGCACTCGTGCAGGAAGAGCCTGGCCCAGGGACCCTGACCTTAAATCATCCTGCACAGGGAGGATGGGCTGGGAGGGAGCTGGGAGATGGAGACACTGCTCTGTAGAACCCTCACCAGAGCTTTTGGACTCCCACTTTCAAAATTTCTGGGTCAAATCCGCATTTCTGGGGAGTCTGCAGGTTTGGGTTTTGGAGGATCTCCCACATCATGTGGGTTCCACTGAACCCTCTCAGCTCTGAGGGTCCCCAAGCCCAGGGTCTCTGGTCCTGTCCCCTTGATACCGTGAGTTTTAAGTTTTTCTGTTCTGTTTTGATGTGCAGCTTTTAGCTTTATATTAAGGATATATATAGGATATATAGGAGATATATATATGTGTGTATATATATATCTATATCTCCTATATATATCCTATATATAGAATATATAATGGGATACAGGATTGATATTAGGATCTTTTCACAGCTTGGTGAAGACAAAACCATTCCTATTCCAGCTGGAGACTCAAGGAAAATCTCTCCAAACTTCAGGCCCAAAGCATGAACAACGTGAAAAGAGGAGGGCGGGCAAGCAAGGAGGATGAACCTTCATCATTTGCAGCAATTAATTAGACAGTTAACTCCTATATGCAAATGGACTAAAACTTATAAAAATGTGAGATCTCATGACCAAGCCCTTTTTGCTTCCATCTTGGAGCCATCTGGGCTGTGGCACTGCCAGGGTGTGGCCTTTGAAGGGACTACAATAAATATCCATTTTATTGCTCTGAGCTCCATCCAGCCTCTGTTCCAGCTCCCTAAGGCATCACCCCCATGGCCAGAGAGGTCCATGTCCTTGTCCCTGTCCCTGTCCCTGTCCTCACCCATCGATGTCAGCCGTCTCCACGTAGCACAGGCTGCTGGGCTCGGAGCTGCACAGCAGGAGCAGGTCAGCCTTGAGGAGCAAAGAACAGGGAGAGAGCAGCTGGATGAGCCCCTGGTCACAGCTGTCCCCCTGGGCACCTCTGGGCTCCCCTCACCGGGACGACGCTGTCCTTGCGCAGCCGCACGATGTCCCCGACGCAGATGTCGCGCCACTCCTGCCAGCAGAACCTGTGGGGGGATCCAGGGGACAGCTCTGTGTCCCTGCAGAGTGGTGGGACTGGGGGCTCTGGGTGTTTCAGCCCGTGGCTGCCCCGAATTCCTGCAGCATTTGGGTCTCCAGAGGGCTGAGCACCGAGGGTGGCACAGGAGCCACGTGCCACATCCGTGTCCCTGTACCCAGAGGTGACAGGGACTCTCAGCACCCTGAGCACGGGGACATGGCTCCGTGCCTTGGCTCTGATGGCCTGGAGGAATTCTGTGGCCAAGGAAACCTCCCCCAGCTCTTCACATCAAACCGGGGCATTTTCAGACCTGCTGCCCATGCCTGGAACACGACCGATCCTACAGGAGGACCTGTGGCACGTTCTGGGAGGTGATGGGACCTTGCAGAGCCCAGGACAGCCCCACCAAACCCCTCCTCAGCTGCTCCAGGGGTCCCAGCACTTCAGCTGCTCGATGGAACATGGATTTTCCAGGCTGTGGAGCCCCTCACCTCCTCCCAGCCAGGATCTCACAGGGCCTGCTGTTGATGCTCCTGTCACTGCGGTGACGGCCCTGCCCACGGGAGAGACGGAGAGGGGAAGGAATGGGTCATGCCAGGCGGTGGTGTGCCACCAAAACACCCCCCTGATGCCACCACCTTCCTCCTCAGCGCCAGAGCTGCGTTCTGAGCCGTGGGAAGGCGTGTTCTGATGAATAAAGAGGTGGAATTCCCTTCAGCAGCTTCTGGGGACCCACCCGGCACTACCAAGGTATTAAAGGTGACAGAAATGAGGGTTTGGACCTGAGGGAAGCATCCAGGGTGTCACACCTTTCCCAAGGAAAACTAAAAACATGTGTGGGAGTGAGGGATGGCAGCAGCCCCTGAGATGCTCAGCCCAGCTCGCAGCACAGGGTCCCTCCCTGCCCGTGTCCCCAGGGCCACCGCCACTCACGATGTCATCCACGAGGTCTCGCAGCCCCCGGATGAGGAGAAGGCAGCTCAGGGGGAACAGCAGAGTGTACCAGGGCACCGTGGAGATCTCAGGGAAAGTCTGGGAAATGAGGATTTTACAGCACTGACACAGCTCCTGTCCCACCTTGGGGCACGTGAGGTGACTGAGAGACTCCCTGGCTCCCGAGGGTGGCAGGAACCCATCTCAGAATCACCAAATCTCTGCTACAGACACCTCTTTTGGTGGCTTTCCACCTCTTTTTGATGTGTGAAATGCTCCGGGGTCTCTGAATTTGGAGGGATAAATTTCTGTTTTGGTGTGGTCAATCTGAGCTTCCCCTCCATATGAACCAAACCCGTTTTATGGAATCAAGGAATGGTTTGTGTTGGGAGGGACCTCAAAGCCCATCCAGTGCCACCCCGGGGTGGCACTGGATGGGCTTTGAGGTCCCTCCCAACCCAAACCATTCCTTGATTGGTTTGATGCCATGGCTGGGACACCTTCAGATTGCTCCAAGCCCTGCCCAGCCTGGCCTTGGGCACTGCCAGGGATCCAGGGTGGGCACCCTGTGCCAGGGCCTGCCCACCCTGCCAGGGAACAATTCCTGCCCAATCTCCCATCCAGCCCTGCCCTCTGGCAGTGGGAGCCATTCCCTGTGTCCTGTCCCTCCAGGCCTTGTCCCCAGTCCCTCTCCAGCTCTCCTGGAGCCCCTTCAGGCCCTGCCAGGGGCTCTGAGCTCTCCCTGGAGCTTCTCCCCTCTCCCCTGGCTCCAGCCCTGGCATCATCTCCTGGTTCCAGCAGCTCCACGTCCTCCTGCTCCTGTTGGGATTTCCCACTCTGGGCACAGGTCAAACCCCGCTGAAAACTCCCAAAAGATGGAAAAGCTCCTGGGGAACCTTCCAGATTTCCTGCCCACCTGGAGGAGGATGACGAAGAGGAAGTAGAGGTTGGCCATGCGGTGGAACTGCTCGTAGAGGTTGAGGGGCAGGAAGGTGAGCGGGTTGTACTTGGCTGTCCTGATGGCATTGCCCTGTGGGGAGAGGGGCACGGCCATCAGGGACCTGCCCTGGCAGTGCCAACACAGTCTGGGGTATTATTATTATTATTATTATTATTATTATTATTATTATTATTACATTTTTATTTTTATTTTTATTTTTATTTTTATTTTTATTTTTATTTTTATTTTTAATTTTTATTTTTATTTTTATTTTTATTTTTATTTTTATTTTTATTTTTATTTTTATTTTTATTTTATTATTGCTGTTATAATTCTTCTTATTCTTACATTATTCTTGTATTTCATTATTATTGCTATTCTAAAATAAAATAGAAACTGTTGACTTCTAAAGTAATAATAATTATTATTATTTTCATCAATATTATCTATTTCTAATATTTAAAATATTATTTTGATTTCAATATTATTATACATTTTATATTATTATCGCTATTCATTTGCATTTTTAATATATTATTTTCTTTGTATATTATTTTTCATTTTATTTTATTATACGTATTATTTCTATTTTGTTTTATTATGCATATATACATATTTATATATATGTATAATATATATATTATACATATATATACATATTTATATATATGTATAATATATATTATACATATATATTGTTTTATTATACATATTTATACCTATATATTGTTTTATTATACATATTTATTCTTAAAATTTTATTAATTTTAATATTTTTAATCTTAATATATTATTTTCTTTTTATTTTTAATTTTAGTATTATTATATCTTATTTCTATAAAGGGAAGAAGGGAAGGGAAGGGAAGGGAAGGGAAGGGAAGGGAAGGGAAGGGAAGGGAAGGGAAGGGAAGGGAAGGGAAGGGAAGGGAAGGAAGGGAAGGGAAGGGAAGGGAAGGGAAGGGAAGGGAAGGGAAGGGAAGGGAAGGAAGGGAAGGGAAGGGAAGGGAAGGGAAGGGAAGGGAAGGGAAGGGAAGGGAAGGGAAGGGAAGGGAAGGGAAGGGAAGGGAAGGGAAGGGAAGGGAAGGGAAGGGAAGGGAAGGGAAGGGAAGGGAAGGGAAGGGAAGGGAAGGGAAGGGAAGGGAAGGGAAGGGAAGGGAAGGGAAGGGAAGGGAAGGGAAGGGAAGGGAAGGGAAGGGAAGGGAAGGGAAGGGAAGGGAAGGGAAGGGAAGGGAAGGGAAGGAAGGGAAGGAAGGGAAGGGAAGGGAAGGGAAGGGAAGGGAAGGGAAGGGAAGGGAAGGGAAGGGAAGGGAAGGGAAGGGAAGGGAAGGGAAGGGAAGGGAAGGGAAGGGAAGGGAAGGGAAGGGAAGGGAAGGGAAGGGAAGGGAAGGGAAGGGAAGGGGCTCACTGAGTATTTCCTCTTGCTCAGGCAGAAGGCGAATTTCTTCCTGGCCCGCCTGTGGTAGGAGCGGTCGTTGGCCCTCACCTCCCAGGTGGCAGCTGCAGAGCAAGGGGACATCGCTGGTGGGAGCCAGGCCAGCCTGGCAGGGCACAGGGACCCGTGGTGGCCTCGGCTGGGGTGGCTTCCCTGGGGCATGGGGACCTCGAGAGCTGCGGGCACAGCTGGGTCTGGTCAGGGTCAGTGACAGGGGACAGGGAGAGCAGAACGTCCCAGAGCTGAGGGCACAGCTGGGTCTCAGCTCAGTGACAGGGGACAGGGAGAGCAGAATGTCCCAGAGCTGAGGGCACAGCTGGGTCTCAGTCAGTGACAGGGAGAGCAGAACATCCCAGAGCTGTGGGCACAGCTGGGTCTCAGCTCAGGGACAGGGAGAGCAGAACGTTCCAGAGCTGCAGGAGCACTGCCCACGCCTCCCCCTGAGTGTCAGGCTCGCCCCTTGGGTGAGCCCCAATCTCTGGGGTTCTGCTCAGGTCATTCCTCTCCCTCTCCCAGCTCCGTTTTTGCCATCCCAGCACAGACCCTCCAAGCAGGGAACACCCCATCCCTGTTCCCAGCACCTGCCGCAGCTGACGGTCCCTGCTCACCCCAAATCTTCTCTTCCTCATTTCACACCCGTGTCCCACATCCAACTTCCTCATAAGCCATGTGAAAGCAGGAAAATCCCCAAAGCACACCCCCGTCACACTGACCTGGCAGCTGCTCCCCACGTGGGCAGCCTGTGGCTGGGTCCTGCTCAGCCATGCTGCCACCGCTGCCAGGACCTGGGGACAAGGACAACCACAGCTCTTCGAAACACTGAGCAGCACGATCCCACTGGGGTTCTCCAGCTCCCCAAGGCTCTGGGGCAGGACACCCTGTGGGAGGGACATTCTCCCACCAGCCTTTTCCCATCCCAGCTGCCTGTGACAACTCCAAGACATTTTTGTCCTCTGGGGAAGCTGCAGGAAATCTCTGAGGTCACTGGTGAGGAATTGGAGCTCTCCCTGTCCTGCCACCCCACCCCAGCCCCCATCCTGCTGGGGGAGCAGCCACCTCCAGCAATGACAAGATGTCCCTCACGCTTGGTGGCCCCGGGACCTTCCTGCAGGGATGATAGGAAAGATTAATTAAGTTTGTGAAGCACTTTGTGATCCTCACATGAAAGGAAGCAGTGAGGGATAAAGCATTAATTACCTTATTATTAAATAATCCCACCACAAGTCAGCCCCTGCCGTTGTTTCTTCTCTCACTCCTTTGATCACTTTTTTCCATTTTTTTACCCAAAGTATCAACTTCCCTCTTGCTCCTGTGGGTGTTGGTTTGTCCCAACACCTCACAGATGCCACTGGCTGGGCCACTCGGCCTCTGCAGCCAAGAGCTTCCCCAGAGAAGCTTTGATCCACAAAATCCTTCTTTACCAGCCAGGACTCGGTGCTGTCCCTGTCCTGGGAATCTAAATGACACCCCTGAGCTCAGCACACACAGCCCCAGACTGGTTTGGGTTGGGAGGAACCTCAAAGCCCACCCAGTGCCACCCCTGCCATGGCAGGGACACCTCCCACTGTCCCAGGCTGCTCCAAGTTCATCCAGCCTGGCTTTGGGCACTGCCAGGGATCCAGGGACAGCCACAGACCCCAAATTTGGACCCCAAATGTGGCTTTCTTTGACACAGAGCAACGCCAAAATCCTCCTCCCTCCCTCCTGTGCCCCACTCTGTCCTTGTCCCCAGCTGGGGACACCTTCCCTGCACACAGACAGGGCTGGATCTGATTGCAGGGGCACAAAGGCAGGACAAAAACCCCTCACAGCTCTCCATGGAACTCCTCAAAACAATTCCTCAGCAATAATGGCAGCAGAGCTCGCCAAGAGGTCACGTTTAAAGCGTGGAAAATTTGGGTGTATAACAAAATATTTCCCAGAGTCTGAAGAAAATGTGGCAGAACTGAATTGTCACCCAAGGTGCAGAAAAAGGAGACACTTGGCAAATCAGTGCCATTCCAAATATGACAGAGATGGAAATCTTTTACTGTGAAAAGGGTTTCACAACAAGTGAAACCACCATGTAATGATAGAAGTGTTAGGGATGATTCAAGTACCCAAAATGTCTCTGAAGACAGAACATTTGAGGAACTTTAATCAGATCCTGTCTGCACTGGCTCCCCAGTGATTCAGAGTTTGGGGGATTGCTGTAGGGAGCTTGCAACCTCTGTTGTTTCTGTTTCCTGTAGGTAATACCCATAAACAGTGATTGTTGCTGATATTACATGAATGCTTAAAAAATATTGTCTTAACCCTTCAAAACTTGCTGCTAAAATATTGATTGCATCATGTGAATCACTGATTTTTGTGATAAAAATTATTGATAAGGTATTGTTAAAGTGTTTACAGCTGCCTTTCATGCATTTTACTATCTCTTTGTGCACAAAGGGACAAAGGAGGGACATTAAAGCCTCTGCTCCTGGCAAGAACCTTTCCCCTCTCCTCCTACCAGAGGGGTGGGCTCCCCTGCTCACAAACCCTGACCCCATCCCTGGCAGTGTCCCAGGTCAGGTTAGAGGGGCTTGGAGCAGCCTGGGACAGTGGAAGGTGTCCCTGCCACGGCAGGGGTGGGATGGGATGGGATTTAAGGTCCAACCCAACCCATTCTAAGGTTCCAACCAGGGGTGGCAGCTGGGACAAGCCTTCAGCCTCAGCCCAGCTCCTGATGGAGAGGTCCAGGCTCAGGCTGGTTAGTCCAGAGCCAGGATTGCAAAGGGATGAAGGCTGAGGTGAGGCACAGCCCATCCACTGGGACAGGACAGCTCCTGGGCTGGAGCCAGACCCACCTTGGGGGCTTGGGCTGGAACTGAGCCCTGGCTGAGCTTCCCAAGCCCAGGGTGATGGGTGGGGGGTCCCAGGGGGTGTTCAGGGCCAGTAACCCTGGCTGTGCCTCACCTCAGCCTGCATCCCCTGCCCTCACTCCAGGACACTGATATTTAGGGTGAGGCTGACAGTGAGAAATGCTGAGGTGTATTCCTGGGCTCTGCTTTTTCTGAGCTCCACACTGGAATTCCTGGGTTTGTGTGTGGTTATCCTGGTCCCCTCGTGCTCAGGGTCAGCCCTGAAGCTGCTGATCCATCACGTCCCCACCACGGTCGTGCTGACCCATGACACCCCACCCACAAAAGGGCATTTCTGAGCCCCTCTGTGCCGGGTCAGGATCACCAGGATGCCCAACCAGGCTCCACTCAGCAGCTCTGCAGCATTCCTGTCCCCAAACGGTGCCAAACAAAGGCACAGCTCCTTTGGCACCTGCACTGGCACGGGCAGGACACTCCATGGGCTGAGTGCCAGGAGTGCTGCCCCTTGCCAGGGCCTGGAGCAGGGGGAAAGGGGAAAAAAGGTCAATCAAAGCACTGGAAAAATATTTTCAAGGAGGTATCCAAAGAAATCTCGGTTCCAAGAAAGCTCTTGACAAACGTCACTCATCAGCTCAGTAATTAGAGATGAAAATTGCACTTTGGGGAGGTGGGGACAGGCTGGAATTGGTGTCAGGGCTCCCTGCCAGCCCCAGCCCCACGGGTGGACAGCCTGGGCAGCCAAACCCTGCTCTGGCCCCAGCCTGGGGATCCACGGGGGCCAGGGAGGGCCAGTGATGGCCAAAGGCACGGGACATCCTGCCACCCCTGCCCACACCTCTGCCAGGCCAGTGGGGAGTTCTTATCCCACGGGATGTTCCCCCAAATCAACAGCTGGGATGGACCCGCAGGGACTGTCCCATCCTGGAGAGACTGTCCCATCCTGGAGGGACTGTCACATCCTGGAGGGACTGTCACATCCCACAGGTCCCATCCTGGAGGGACTGTCCCATCCTGGAGGGACTGTCACATCCCACAGGACTGTCCCATCCCGCAGGTCCCATCCTGGAGGGACTGTCCCATCCCACAGGTCCCATCCCACAGGACTGTCCCATCCCACAGGACTGTCCCATCCCTCAGGACTGTCCCATCCCACAGGGACTGTCCCATCCCACAGGGACTGTCCCATCCCACAGGTCCCATCCCACAGGACTGTCCCATCCCACAGGGACTGTCCCATCACACAGGTCCCATCCTGGAGGGACTGTCCCATCCCTCAGGACTGTCCCATCTTGGAGGGACTGTCCCATCCTGGAAGGACTGTCACATCCCACAGGTCCCATCCCGCAGGACTGTCCCATCCCTCAGGGACTGTCACATCCCACAGGGACTGTCCCATCCTGGAGGGACTGTCACATCTCAGAGGTCCCATCCTACAGGGACTGTCCCATCCCACAGGTCCCATCCCACAGGGACTGTCCCATCCTGGAGGGACTGTCACATCCCACAGATCCCATCCCACAGGACTGTCCCATCCCACAGGTCCCATCCCAGAGGGACTGTTCCATCCTGGAGGGACTGTCCCATCCTGGAGGGACTGTCCCATCCCACAGGTCCCATCCCGCAGGGACTGTCACATCTCAGAGGTCCCATCCTGGAGGGACTGTCCCATCCCGCAGGTCCCATCCCGCAGGGACTGTCACATCCCACAGGGACTGTCCCATCCCTCAGGTCCCATCCCTCAGGCCTGTCCCATCCCGGAGGGCTCCACCTCTGAGCATCCCCGCGGTGCTGCCGGGCACTAAGACGCCCCAAAGCGGAGTTTCTCACCCCAAAAGTGCCGCTCTGGGCTCTCGGAGGTTGGCACGGCTGAGCAGAAATCGGATTTAAGGAGGGCCGGGCACGGTGCCACGGAGGTTTGGCGCAGGCTGGTGAAAGCCGCGGAGATTTATGTGCCTGCCTGCTCCGAGCGCTGCCACGGGAATTCTGTGCAGGTTTTGTTCCTGAAATCACCGGTCCCCTCCCGTTCCCCGGCACGGCACGGCACGGCACGGCACGGCACGGCACGGCACGGCACGGCACGGCACGGCCCGGCCCGGGCAGAGCGGGGGTTCTGTCCCCTCCCGGCACGGCACGGCCCGGGCGGAGCGGGGGTTGGGTCCCCTCCCGTCCCCCGGCACGGGTGGATCGGGGGTTCTGTCCCCTCCCGGCACGGCACGGCACGGCCCGGGAGGAGCGGGGGTTCGGTCCCCTCCTGGCACG